CTTTTTTATTACTCCAGTTACTGATCATTGGAAACACTGACATTAGAGAATCTGGGTGTATGGAAGAATGTCAGTTGACCTGTGAGAGGGTGTTGTAAAGAGAAGAAACAAAACAAAATATGTAAACAGCCTGAGAAACATATGGGCTAAGCTGTGAGATTTTTGGTGAGGGAGTTAACAGTGTAATCTTACCCTTGCTATTCTAAGGAATAAGTTAGTACAATTCTGTAATCACTAAGCAGTGGAATCTCACATGAAAACCTGATATATAATTTATCTTTATGCCTCTGAAAAAGAAAAAAATTGCAGTAACTTAATTTGTAGGTTATTGAAGGCACAAGGATCTTTCCAGTTTTTATCTGTGATTATATCACTCTAGTGTTAGACAAAAGATGACACCTGCAGGGCCATATATATAACTGCTTTTTTCTAAATTGGTAGCAGAAAAAGAACCCACAAATTTGGAGATTTAAGTCCCTTTTCCCCACCAAGGTTACTTCCAGCCCTAGACATATAAACATTCGTCACTAGCCAACCTTCTGTATCCATCCAAACAAGCCCTTTCCAACCAGGCATGTAGCATTGCACCAACAACTGAAACCATATGCAATCTGAGAGGAAAAGCCTTGTAGAAGGAATGGGAGGGTGGACATATGACAGCAAGTTCCTGATAGGGAAAGTTATCTAACAACAGAGCCACCAGTTCCCAATGGATTAAGTTAACTGCTGAAAGAAAGTCTACTGAATTAATGTGGTTTGTATCAAGAAATTATTTTCTCATTACTAGTTCAAGATGAACTTAATATACACACAGCATTTCTCATGTAGGAACACAGACTTGCTAATGTTTCCTCATACTGTGAAAATATTCTCAGGCTTTCGGACTGGGTAGCATTAATTATTTGTACCCTCAATAAGTAGTGTGACAAGACTTTTGTCCTCTGACCTGCCTAACTTATACTGTCAGAATTGCATCTTAACCAGCTTGGAGTGGTCTGCCTTGATGTCTTGAAGAAGAAAAAATAGCTCACAGTTCCAAGGCACAGAAAAAAAAATATATATTCTGGACCGGAGCTAGAAGGGGCCCTGGAGGACCCAGAGTGGATGACAGTAAACTATCTAAGTTGTCAAATCTATGTTCATCATCAGCTGTCTAGCAACATATGACTAAATGCATGACTACACAGAACTGTGAAGAAGCCTGCCTTAGAAGAAAAATCATACAAGCTGTTTTGGAAGGATTTGCTAGTCTCCTTTCCATAAAACATGCAATTCTACTTGAAAAGAACAAGAAATTCTTTCAAATTGGACCTCAGTTGTTGAAAGCTCTCATGCTGAAAGCATTCTTATGGCTGTCTGTATTGAATTTTTCAAAGATGACTGGGCAACTCCTTAGACTTGTTAGAAGTTAGGGGTGCAGACTCTAAAGTCTTGAAAAACAGCTTTTGGAAATCATCAGGGAAGCTTTTGCCTTTGGGAGATTTAGATTCCAATGACAGAAAGGCCAAAGTATATCCCATGGAAGCTGCAGCAAACTCTTGCTTTCATTAAGATATCTCAGCATGTGAGATGCAAAGTGCTGTAGAGCCTTGTCCCATGTCTTCACAAAGTGCCTCATAAACTCAGTCAGATGTCTTATTTGTGATGAAGGAAGTCCTGTTTTTGTCTTGCTGTTCCTCTTACAGATGTTGACTGTCTTCCTAGAAAGGTTAGTAAAGAGTTATGTTCATGATGGAGCAAAAAGGTCACCCTCAGGTACTGAAGACTTGTTTTTATTGTCCCTTGATCCTTCCTGATTCTCATTCTGTTCCCTCAAATACAAAGTGAGATTGTTTTATCAAGAAGTATTCTGGAGAGAAGACCAAAGAATATTAGATACATCTTCTGCTTTTGTGCTCCCTAGCCATAATTTTTTCCAAAGCACCCAGGAAGATTGAGTCGGAGATGGGCTCTGCCTTGGCACTTATGTTGGGAGAGTTCCAATAATTCTCCTTTCCCTCATTCTGTTGACCTTTCCATCCTTTCTTCTTCAACACTAGCATCTATTGACAGTTCCCATTTATTTTTTCATGTTTGTTGTATTTTGTTTCAGAGTCTTACATTATGGGAATTCTACTTGTTGTTTTACCCACCAGATGAAGAGGACCCAACTCAAAATATTTTTCTTCAGTTGTAACTAAAATTGCTGTTTGGCTTTCTTCCCAAAAAAACAGAAAGACAATTATACTTAACTGTTTAGAGATTTATAAATACTGTACCCAGAGTAGCCTCTGGGTGTTAACTTTAGATATCCAACCCAATAATTTTATTTTATTGGATAGTGATTTAGATCTTATTTTG